GTATATTTTTTAAAGGGAAAAGATAAAACCTTTATATTATTTGACACAAATATTTGCCTCAAGCCCCTCTGTAAAAATTTGAATGTGTACTCCATGCTTCCCCAGTCAGAGATGACACAGAACATAACTGATCTTTTTAAAATTTTTTTTAAAGTTTACTATACATTTTCTTAGTGATATCTATACTGAATATGGGACTCAAACCCATGACCCCAAGATCAAGAGGCAAGAGGTATATGCTCTTCTGAATGAGCCAGCCAGGTGCCCCTACTTTATCCTTTTTTAAAATTGACTCACAAGGGGCCCCTGAGTGGATTGGTCAGTAAAGCATGCAACTCCATCTTGGGGTCAGGAGTTCCCCTCCCATGTTGAGCACAGACATTACTTAAAAAAAAAAAAAAAAAAAAGGAAGTTAAAAACAGATTTGGGATAATCACTTAGTATAACACGTGTTAAGATTCCACCTTTATTTGACACAGCATTTTTCCTTTTTTTAATATTATTTTTTCACTTTTTCAATGTTTTTATTCATTTTTTGAGAAACAGAGACAGAGCACAAGCAGGGGAGGGGCAGAGAGCGAGGGAGACACAGAATCAGAAGCAGGCTCCAGGCTCTGAGCTATCAGCACAGAGCCCGATGCGGGGTTCGAACCCATGAATCATGAGATCATGACCTGAGCCGAAGTTGGCCACTTAACTGACTGAACCACCCAGGTGCCCCTGAGAGAGCATTTTTCTATAAATTTTTTTTTCAGGAAAAGGTAGGTTTCAATCAGTATTTTAAAATGCTTAAGAGTTGAAGAACTCTTTAAAATAAAATTTAATGAGATTAGCTAATAAATAAGTAACAAAATAATAATTACCCATATCTTTAAAATCTCTAATAATTAAAAGGTTAGAATTCTGTGTGAGGTAAAATAAGGATTACAGTAACTTTGATGTGAGAACTGAATTCTATACTTTTGAAAAAAGGCACTCAAATATTTGATTTAAATGTGGCTAGATAGACAGGGCTATAAGTCTCTTCAGAGAATTGAGTCAGTTAAACTAAAGCTCCCCACCAATTTACACTTCATGGGAAGCACACTAAGCTATTCCTACCAGCAGCAGAATGACTCTTCATTGCAGACTCTCATTCAACTTTCAGAGTCAAGACTAACAGAAACTCCAAACCTTTTCTAGATGGCTTGCTGGGTTTCTACCCAACTAATTAATGACATTTCCATCCTGTAAACAGAACAGACCCACCCAGACCCAGGTCAACAACTCACTAATATTATATTTTCTCCCAGACTATGTTCAACCTATAGAGCCAGAAGATGTGAGTCAGGTTGTACTACTTCCTCGATATTTGTAAAAGATTTTCTTTCACACTTACATTTAGATATTTTATTTCCAATGTGTATATTTATATTCTAATATATATAGTTTGAATACGTTTTATATTTAATTCAACATAATGCTCTAATACACCTTATATTGTGACATATAATTCTAGTAAAATAATCTCTTCTCAAAAACAAAACAAACAAAATATTTAAAGACCCACTTCGGCCAACAAGGCCACACGACCCTGACCGTGACACAGCACCCACCCTCAAGGTAACACGGTTGGCAGTGCCTAAGACCGTCTGAACCAAGCATTTGGGGAGGAGTTTTCTTACTGGCAAGGGTTCTCCTTCCCACGGTGTTCTTGTTAGCACTACTTTCCTCATCACTCTGCCAGGGTTTCTATCGGCAAGAATTTCTTGTCAGTTAACTCACACTTTCCACCCACCAAAGGAAACTGAAAGAACCAAAGGCAACAACCAGCAACATGAGAATTTTAAGGCTGTCATCTACCACCAGCTAGGAAACTGGTTAATTTTCCATGTTAATAAATGTAAGAGAAAGCCACGCGAAGGCCACTCAAACCACAAACCAGTTCTGGATACAAACGCTATTCCTAACTCTATCTTAAGTTGAAGGGGTGACAACGAAACTCCCGGTTTTTGTGCATTTCTATAAAAATCTCATTTCACAGAAACTAGCTAGTTGTTTCTAGTGTCTGCAGAATTTTAGTATTTGTTTCTAGTGTCTTAGTCAATGCTATTATAAAAATGAGAGAGAACAAGTTGTCCCCAAATAACTAAGGGATATGTTTCAAAGTTTTTGTAAATAGCATTGGTGCATTATTTTACATCTTTAATGGCCCTCTTACACATATTACCTCCTGTGATCTGTAGAGCAACACTGGGAGGGAATCAGGAGGGAATCCCCTACGGTTCACGGTCGAAAAGTCCAGCTCATAGAGTTTAAGCGTCCAGGATTACACGAGTAGGAAATGAAATAACCAAAACGCAAAACACAAGTTTTCTCTTTCTCTCATACCACACTGACTGTAAGTTGGAGCTTAGAATTTGAAATCTATCTTCCCACAAAAGTAATATTGTACATGGTGGTTTGGAATCTAGACTAACCCACAAAGACCTCTAACTCACAAAGACTGAACTATCAAAAAGTATGATAGAGCTAAAAATGGACTTGTGTGTGAGCCTGGGTGGCTCCGTCAGTTAAGCATACGACCCTGGATTTTGGCTCAAGTCATGATCCCAGTGTTGTGGGATCGAGCCCTGCTTTGGGTTCTGTGCTGAGCATGGAGCCTACTTGGAATTCTCTTTCTCTCCCTCTGCCCCTCTCCCCCTGCCCCTCTCCCCCTGTTCACAAGCATGCTCTCTCTCATTAAAAAACTAAATTAAAATAATTTTTTTGAAAAAAGGACTCGGGCACCTAGGTGGCTCAGTCAAGCATCTGACTTTGGCTCAGGTCACAATCTTACAGCTAATGAGTTCAAGCCCTGTGTCGGGATCTGTGCTGACAGCTCAGAGTCTGGAGCCTGCTTTGGATTCTGTGTCTCCCTCTCCCTCGCCCATCCCTCCAACTTGTGCTCTGTCTCTCTCAAAAAATGAATAAACATTAAATTTTTTTTTTAAAGAAAGGACTTGTGCAGATAGACCCAAGCCCCTAACTTACATGCTTAACATTTCTTTAGTAATAAATATAACATAAACTACAGAGAAAAGATTGTATTTGTATAAACAATTAGCTAACCTCCCAACGCCCATCCTCTGAAGAAGCAACTAGTCCATTCAGAGCAGGAAAGGAGTGCAGAGCCACAAACACATCCCCTTCCTTCTTTCTGGTCCCGGTGGTCATTGTTTCTCCTCACCAGGGGAGATATAAGAATAACAGCAGCTTCAGAAATAGGATTTGCTCTCTGAGATTCTGGCAGTATCTCACTGTCAGTCCCAAGTAGAAGCTGTTTGTTCCAACAGATAAGCCCTGTGTCAGTTATGTAAAGTCGTAAGTACCCAGAGCTGGAATGGTAAACAAGTTCCTTTCTTGTTCCCGCCTCACTGATGAGCACGCCAGTGGGAATGATTCAGATTCCAACAGGGTTCAAGGGCAAGAAGGGTGGATGGGAGATGCCCATCACAGACATGTAGGCATGGTTACTCGGGAAAACTCTTCTTTGTTTTATATCCAAATTAGAGAAAGTAGTGACATCAGAAAGAGGGGATTGCATTTTTTAGATAATACTCAATTTATTTGCTTAAAAAGTAGGAAGTTAAAAGGAAAACAAGATTAAATCCTTGCTATTCTTGCCCCTTGTTTCCAAAGGATACCTTCTTCTACCTAACAGGTACAGTCCTTCATATAAAGGTTTCTCAAACAGCTGTAAAACCCACAAAAGCTGCTTTTCTCTACAAGCCAGATGTAAAGGAAAAGATAGGAAACTGTGCTGTGCCTGAGCAAATACCTCTGTCCTTCCTTTTCCCCGGGGATTATGGAAGGGGAAAAAAATTATCAGAGATTTAATACATTTTAAGTATCCCTCTCTCCCTACATCATCCCAAAATATAAATCAGGCTTGCTGGGTAAGAAGACAGTGAGATGGGGAGCAGTGTGGTTTCTGAGGCTGGACGAACACCAGAATCCCATGGGATGTTTAAAAACAAAAGCGATCCCCAGGCCTCACACAAAGGTGGAAAAGAGGCCTCTGTGCTTTTCCATCACTGCACAGAGAATCCAGGTGATCAGCCAAATCCAAGTACAGTTAATATAAAGGAAAGGACCCCGGATGGTACATACTTACCCGCCAGGCCCGTACTCCTGTCAAATCTTCGGGACGCCTCGAGGACACCCACTAATGCCACATCCAGGTCAGACACCTCTCCTGACACACCCTCGCCCCTTACACCCCCCACCATCCTGCACAGCATTCATCTTAAGACATTCCAACTGTTCACCAAAGAAATGGCTAACAAATCCGAAATCACAAATCCCGCAAGTAGTTATTTTCAATTATGTGAATGGAGCTAATTCACTTCTCTGAGTATCACTTTTTTTCCTAGAAATGAAGAGATTAAACTAATTTTTTTAATGTTTTTTTTTAAATTTATTTTGAGAGAAAGAATTCCAGGGTAGGGACAGAGGGAAAGGGAGAGAGAGCATCCTAAACATGCTCCATGCTGTCAGTCCAGAGTCTGACACACGGGGCTTGAACTCATGAACCTTGAGATCATGACATGAGCAGAAACTGAGAGTCAGACGCTTAACCGACTGAGCCACCCAGGTGCGCCCTAACTGTTTTCCCAAACTACCACCCAGCTTTATTGCTCAAAATGCAAGCTAAAGACTGAGAGTAATAAGGACCCCAAGAAGACAGAATCTATACCCATGGAGGCCAGAGTGGGCCCAGCCCCTTCTGCCACCTAGACAGATGTTCCTTGGTGGCAAGGAACCCCACCACGGGAGAGAGCCAACTAATTTCTTATGGATCCTCTAGTTATAGAGCCTCGGTCAAGATAAAACTGTATCAAATGATAGCAAGGCTCTACAGAAGACAAAAGCAAAGTAAGAGTCAATAAACATTTGTAGACTACATTGGTGCTTTCGCTTATTTTCTATTCATGGGTAACCTGGATGATAGGCAAATCTGTCTTGTTTTCAGTACTTACTTGCACACTCATCTTGAATATCTATAGTGGCAAATGGCATGTCTATCAGAGAATCCATAGCATTAGCTTCAGATTCTTCTGATGTTTCCTGTTCTTTGGACACATTTTCACACTCACTGGAATCTATGCCTCCTGTAACAGATCAAAAAGAAAAATGTATTATTTAGCTTATTTTTAAAAATTAGATCCTACACTAAAACAAGTCAACTGAATTAAAAATAAATTAACATCTGTTGAGAAATGATACAACTTGTATTCAAACATATTTTAAAGTTATATATTTATACCATATTCTACATTTTGATAACTGCACTTTTCTCTCAAACAGCATTAATAATTTTTTGAAGTAAGTATTCAACTCAGGGTTAGATGGAGACAGAGTTAATTAACGGTCCTCAAGCTCTTTTCTTCATTCTAAAACTACATTTTTCCCGTACCCTTTTTGAAAACAAACGAACAATGTTTTGTCAGTCTCTTCCACGTTTATTTTTAACAATATGACTTATATGTACTCATTTGTACAAGTTCTAACCTTTCTTTTTTTTTCAATAAAAACTTCCAAGTTTTTTCTATTATTATATTCACATTGGAAATTCAGTTTAAAATTCAGCTCTAAATATGCTTTTCCTAAGAATTCACTGATTCAAAAGCAAAAGATCTTATAGTTTCTCTGACAGGCGTCCCAAGGACATTCGCTGATATTAAAGCCACATTTCACGTTTGGTCTTTTTGTTTTCTTGTTACAGGTGGAACAATCCTATGTCCTGGGTGGAGGTTAAGGGAAAGAGGGTGTCTGTTCAAACTGATAAAGTTAATTACAAAATGTATCAGTAGGTGGTAGTTCCAGTACCATTATTTTGCAACACTTTTATTGACAGAACACAAGTGTGGTTTGAAGTAGGACTGAACAAAATCTTGGGATAACTGTACTTACTAAAGACTAATTTACCATGAAAGGAGTTAATGAAGTCACTTACTTCATTCTGTGGTAATCTTCTATTTTCACATATAGTACCTAAAAACCACATTCCATTAAGAATATGGCTTACAATGCGGGGAGCCTGGGTGGCTCAGTGGGTTGAGTGTTCGACGTCAGCTCAGGTCATGATCTCATGGGTTCATGAGTTCGAGCCCTACATTGGGCTCTGTGCTAAATGCTCAGAGCCTGGAACCTACTTTGGATTCTGTGTCTTCCTCTCTGCCCCTGCGCTCACTCATTCGCTCTCTCTCTCTTTCAAAAATAAACATTAAAAAATAATTTTAAAAAAGAGTTGAGGAGGAAAAAGAAGAATATGGTTTATAAAATACACCATAACTATCACTAAAAGGTCAGATTAATGCGTATACCCCAAAAATCTAAATTTCTATTGCAATGTGAGTAATCTCTATTGTTCTCACATACACAGCACACATGGACACACACACACCCCCTAATTTCTAGATATAAGCAAAAAGAACCACAAAAAGGTTTTTATATAAATCAGTTGTGTTCAAAACCAAGACAAACAAACTAAAGCATTAGTACATTCTTAATAATGATGCTATTTATGAAGTATGGGTGGCCGGCACTCAGGTGTTCAACAAATATTATTTTAGCATTAGTTTAATCATAAACCTGTAACTACCTGAAATATGAGAGAACAAGTAGATGTTTCCTCTCTAATTTTATGCTTGCATTGAAAAATACAAATGCAGGTTATACCTAAACAAAAATTTTTTTTTTTAATATTTTTATTTATTTCTAGGAGAGAGAGAGAGAGAGACAGCGTGAGCAGGGGAGGGTCAGAGAGAGAGGGAGTCACAGACTGAAACAGGCTCCAGGCTCTGAGCTGGCAGTCAGCACAGAGCCCGNGAGAGAGGGAGTCACAGACTGAAACAGGCTCCAGGCTCTGAGCTGGCAGTCAGCACAGAGCCCGACGCGGGGCTCGAACCCACCAACCGCAAGATCATGACCTAAGCGAAAGTCGGACGCTCAACCGACTAAGCCACCCAGGCGCCCCATACCTAAACAAAAATTTTAATAGATCGATACATATCTAGTACCTTCAGGCACCTGCAGCTATAAAGAATTATCACTGACCAGCTTACACTTGAAAAGGTAGCGGCAAAAATTATTTGGGCAGTTAAACAGGCACATAGCTGAATGAAAATGAGAACAAAATGAAATAAACCCAACTTTTGTTTTACTCTATTGTATCCTTAATCTAAGAACCTATTACTAAGCTCTGAAGACCTAACATACACCATGGTTACTGTAATTAAATACTGTAGAATATACCTGATATTTGCTGAGAGACCTTAAGCATTCTCATCAAAAAAAAAAAAAAAGTATATGAGGTGATGGATGTGTCAATTAACTTGACTATGGTAATCCTCTCACAATATATTGTAGAAAATCATCACACTATACACTTTAAATAGATACAATTTTATTTGTCAATTACATCTCAATAAAGCTGGGAGGAATAAAAAGAACTCAGTGACATGAAATTGGCCATGAGCACTGACATTTCAATTGGAGCTCTAAAGTTCATGTGCCACTTGGGACATAAACTGGATTCTTGACAGTATGTGGAATGGCACAAGAAGTTGACTTTTGGGCCCTAATAAAACCTTTGAAGGCAAAAGGAAGACTTGAATGGCATGATGAATTAAATTTTGTCATTTTTTAAGTGAAAAAAGTTCCTGAAATACTTTAACTTTTAATTAACCAGTAGAGGACACATGTGATGTGGGTCACTCTGGCTTCACCAAAAGCAGACTCAGGAAGGACAATGGTGATAACAATGGCATTCAGGTAACGATGCAAGGCCAGCTGCCTGCTGTAACAGAAAGGGCTTCGTACCAGAAAGAAGGCCAGAATTCCAGCATCATGCTGCTCCCACCGCCCATGTGATCCCAGGCAATTCACACCAACTCTCCAGGCCCCACCATTTATCGCCTCTCCTAGATGACATCATTGTCCTAGTTGAAAAATTCTAAATCCTAGCTGCACTTTAGACTCACCCGGAGCTTTTTTAAATTACCAATGTCTGGGTCCCACTCTAGGTCGATCAAACCAGGATCTCTGGAGATCAGGGCAACTGCTGGTGTTTTCTTAAAGCCTAATATGCAACGGGAGTTTGAAAATCATGGCTCCAAAAGATCCCCTCTCACCTCACACATACCTTGATTCTACACCACACCGAGAGGTTATGTTAACAGTGGAGAATAATCAACTTAAAAGTAAAAACTCTGGGGCGCCCTGGTGGCTCAGTTGGTTAAGAGTCTGACTTCAGCTCAGGTCATGATCTCACGGTTCATGAGTTCGAGCCCCGTGTTGGGCTCTGTGCTGACAGATCAGAACCTGGAGCCTGCTTCAGATTCTGTGTCTCCCTCTGTCTCTGCCTCTCCCCCACTCACGCTCTGTCTGTCTCTCTCTCTCAAAAGTAAACATTAAAAGTAATTAAAACAATAAAAAAGTAAAAACTCAGATCAGACGTTCCCTGTTAGGGAAAACTTTCCTGATCCCCAGCTCAGGGTTGAGTTAGGGAATCCCATCTCTTTCCTCCAGTCACAGTACAAATACACTGTGGTAGGTGTCCATTAGTCTGTCTTCTCCTTTAGACGCTAAGCTAAAGTAATCATATATAATTTACCACCCATACTGGAACACTTTAGAAAGTGAAAGGGGACACTTTTCATAATTACACCCCTATCAATAAGTATGGTCCCCGTATTCTAAGTTCCTTAAGTGCCGCTTCTCATTTGATTCCTCAATGCCTGTACAATGTTCAGCTCACAACTGGTGACCACTACATTTGTACTGAATGACTGGACACAGAGAAGCACACATTTGAGAGTGGCTAATAAATCACTCAGGTTATACTGCAGTCTGGCTACTCAATGTCCAAAGAAAAAAAAATCATTTCTGGTGCTTAAATGACAGCTTCAGTACATCACAGATTCTCCTTTTCACAGGATGACGAAGGAAAGGTACCACTATCCCATTCAACATAAAAATAAAAGGTAAAGTATACGACTTGTTCAATATAATTCTCCATCTTGCTAAATAAAGCATATATAAACTCTTGAATGCAGTGTTATGTCAAAATCAACGGTACAGAACTTGAAACACAGACTTCGTTCCATTAAACTACAGAACAATAGAAACCATTTTTGTAGACACGAATTATTAAGTCAGAAAAAAGAGAACACTGCTTTCAAATAGCTCTTGAAGAAACTGCTGGCCCTTCTCCAGAGCAATATTTCTCAACAAAGTTCAAATCTAGAAGCCTTCCTCCAGTTCTCTAAGCTCCACTGTTTGGGCAAAGGTGGCAGACGTGACGTAAAGACAGCCAACCTAACACTTTTTTACAGAAGCTGGAAGGACTCTGCTTTTGAAAAACTACCTTAAAATAACTGACTCTTAAATAACAGCACTTAAACCATAAACTGGTTGTTTTGAGCACTTAAAACTTAGTCTAATCATAGTTGAAATTCTATCTTTTGCACAAATCCAAATAAGAATGATGCTAAGTGCATTCGTAACAAAAACGAAGGGAAACTGGTAAACTACTACTACTGAAAACTACAGCTAACACTTAAGCGGAGAGTAACGGTCGGCAAAGCTGGAAGCACTTTATAGGTAATGACTCATTTAATCCATACAGCCATGCCATCAGGGAGGTACTATCAACTTAACTGATTTTATGGACTAGCCAGTTAAGTACCTTGCCCAAGGTTACAGCTAGGTCTGGGGCTAGAATGTGAATTCTATCACTCTGCTGTCAAAACTTCTTTCCTGGCAATACATCCTGCACCCTCTTACACATACATAGTTTATGGAGCTGTAAACTGAGGTAATCCTTTCAAAACACATTCTGGCAACAGATCAGGAGCTATAAAAATGTTCTTCTCACTCATACATCTGTATCTATCGCATATATTGACAAAGACTCACCACAGCTTTGTTTAAAGAAAAAGTTACAACTTAATAGCCTAGTAACAGAGAAATAAATAAAGCATATTCACTCTAATGACAACCAAGGATAGTGGCTATGAAAACTGCCACAACGAAAACGTTTGCAACTAATATTGACTTTTTGAAGCAAATACAATATTGCATACGTTCTATATAGACAAAGGCTAAAGGAAATATAAATTATTTCTAAATGCTGATAGAGCCATACTCAATGGATTTGTATTTTTCCCCTGTCTGCTATTCAAATATTTTAAATAAAATATTACTTTTCCAAAAAGTTAATGCATACATATAAAATATAAAACTATACATTAAGTATACACAAATATTCAACTACATGTGCACTTCAGCAAATGACTTTACTAAAAAGACAGGCCAAGAGAGGAATAAAGGATAGTCAGTTTTGCCCTTTGTCACAAAAAAGGCAAATTTCCTATTTGGATAACAAATTGTGACTTCATTAGGCATGATTCTTCTACGCAGTCTGCTAGTTACATTCCCCAAGATCCAATGGAAAGGGTCACTCTGATCCATGCTAGTCCTGGCCTAGCTACTAAAAATAGAAGCATCTTATTACATCTAGGTAAGTGTTGAGCTGAGTGATAATCAACAAGTCAGCTTTGCTTTCCTCTTCATAAAGAGAAGATAGAATCCATTACTGAAAAGAAATGAACAAAATAAGTTAATACTGTGTGAAAAGGAAAGTAAGGAAGCGGTAACCTCCAAGATCATCTTGAACTTCGCTAGTGTGCGGGGAAGGCCCAGATGCTCTATCAGTATCTTGAACTGCAAGCGCACACACTAAGCAGGGCGCCCCGGGTGTGGGTGTCCTTTCTCCCGGACGATCCCCCACCCACAAGGTCTTAATCATTTCATTCCTGTAACAATTGCACACATATTTCTATTAGTTAACGGCTACCATGTAACACATTTTAACAGTCTAAGGTTCTTTATATCTTTTTACGCGTTTCTACTACAAATATCTCGCAGGGGAGCATCTTTTCTCTAATTGGCTTTTGGTCCCTTTCACCCCAAGTCCAACCCCTCGCTCGCTCTATCCACAAAGTTCAGTTCCGAAGAAATGCGGACTTAAACTGGAAATGAATTCTGGGCCCTGCTACAGATTTGGCGCCAGTTTAAAAGAGGTCATTTCCACACCTAGAAGAAAATGCTACATGAAACAGCGTGGTAGCTCGGGTCTTTAATGACTGGCGTGGACAAGGAAAACCGCGGTTCTGTGGGTTCCCTTGACCACACAAACACCGTCGGGGGGCGGGGGTGGGGGAGTGAGTTGAAATTTGAACTGAAGGTCGCAAGATCAGAAAGGGGAAAACAAAAGTGAAACTTGGGGCAGTTCACACCCCTCGCTTCCCGCCACACCAGCAGCGCCTGCCCCGGGACGCGCGGCTCGGTTCCGTGCAGCGAGCACACCCGGTCGCGCAGGGGTCCTCGGTGCGACCCCGAGTCCCGCCGGCACCGAGAAGGGACCCCGAGCGCGGCGGGCGTGAGGTCGCGCTCCCCGCGTTGGTGGCGCCGGCGGGGCGCGGAGGCCCGGCCCTCCCCGAGGCCGGGCGAGGAACGGGGCCCGCGCCCCCGGCTCCGGCCGCCCACCCGGCCCGCTCGGCAGCCCGGGCTCACCGGCTCCGGGGCGCTCCATGGCGGCGGCGCGAGCGGGCTGTGCGTCCGGGGAGGCGGCGGCGGCGGCGGCGGCGGCGGGGCGCTGCAGCCCGGGGCCGGGCGCGAGGCGGAGGCGGAGGCCTGGGCGGAGCCGGGGACTCGCGGGCAGCGGGGGCAGCGCGGGGGGGCGGGACAGGGGGCGGCGACCGCAGGGGGCGGCGGGGGCTCGGGCCGCGGCGATCAGGCCCGTGCAGACGGCGAGCCCCCGCAGCCGCAGCGCCCGCCGGAGCTGCATGGCCAGGCCCCGCGCGCGGCAGCGGCGGAAGGGGCCGAGCGATTCGCCCGGTGGTACCCGGATTGGGGCGAGCGCCGGCGCCCCGCGCCGGGAGGCCGGAGGGGCCGCCGCGAACGGCGCCCACGGAGACCTGGGGGCGCCTCTGTGCCTCGCGGCGCTGCGTCCCCGTCTGCGCTCCGGAGCCGGCGGCCTCTTGCGGCCTTTGGCAGCCCTCGGTTATTTCCGGTGGCCTGGCCTTTCCCGCCCCACGCTTTGGGATTAGGGTGAGATTGCGACCTGCCTCCAAGCATTCCGTGGCCCGTGGCCTCCTAAGGATCCATGTATTTAGTTTTGCGAAGAGCTTTCAAAACAGTTCAGATTACAAAATATTTGGAAAGAGCCAGATGCACAAGAATGAGACCATGTCCATCTGTATGATTAGTTGACTTACTTTGTTTAAAAAAAAAAAAGTCAAAATGTGGCAAAGTCTCTAATTTTAACAATGGCCTTATGCCTAGAAATCCGGCTGATTTTTGTAGATTAAAGCACTGGTAAAATGGGAGGAAAAGCAATTTACTTAACTGGGGGAAGGGGGGGATTTTGACCTTGGAACAGAATTCTACTGGACTTTTAAGTGCAAATAAACCATGCAGTTAAGAAAAATTAGATGCACCCCTTAAATTAATGTAGCCTATTTTGCGGATACCACTTGACTTATCTTGAATGCGTCCTAGAATGGAAATGGAAGCAAAAAAGACCTTGCTTGGTACAACCACAATAGTTGACATAAAGACCATATACAGGAAGTAATAAAGCTTGTTACTTTGATTCTAAAATGATTCTAGCAAGTTGAGTATTTGATTTGCACACTCAGAACAATTATGGACGCATTAGCAGGGTCCAACGGGTTTCCCTAACTGTCCTGAGGCTGTGAAAGTGAATAAGACATCTTTTTCTTGGGACTCCTGGGTGGCTTAGTCGGTTAAGCGTCCGACTTTCGCTTAGGTCATGATCTCGCGGTTCGTGGGTTCGAGCCCCGTGTCGGGCTCCGTGCTGACTGCCAGCTCAGAGCCTGGAGCCTGTTTCAGAGTCTGCCACTCCCTCTCTCTCTGACCCTCCCCTGCTCACGCTGTCTCTCTCTATCCTAGAAATAAATAAAAATATTTTTTAAAAAAAGACATCTTTTTCTTAAGGAGCTGATCCCCTAATAACAGAGAAAGAAACATGAATGTCTGCAATAAGTAATAAACTGAAAGCTGCAAAAAAAAAAAAAAAAAAAAACCACACACACAAAGAAACAAAAAACAATCCAGGCTTATACTGAAGGAGATAAGAATATGCGACCCCAAAATATCTCACTCTAACATTAAGATTTAGGGCTGGGAGCAATTGAGAAACTGCAGTGCAAGAATTCTGTCCTCTCCTTTTCTATGAAAAGCAGCACATAAATTTCGCTTTGTGAAGATGACATACATTTCCATTTGTAAAGATTTACCCCCTTTTTGGGAAGAGGGGAAAGTCATATCGGAAGAGAAGAGTAACCCTTACTCTTCTCTTATGCAGTACTCCTTACTGCATAAGGAACCTTACTAAACAACGCTTATTTTCCAAACATTTCCTGGTCACCGCCTGAAGGCAAAAACAAAGTCTGTATTTCCAAGTGCATAGAGGTTACTCAATGTATAGTAGTTGAATGAAACTTGTATACGCATCAGGTCTGTTTAAATAGTCAGATTTGTCAAAAAAGAAAGCAACACACCCAAATAAATTTCATGAAAGGGAAACAGTATCATAAGTAATAATATCCTAAAGCTTCACCAGCCTGAGGCTAAAAAAACAGCTGACATTGACATTAACATCTGACTGTTAATTGCTGCTCCTGCCAGAACTCCAGCCCCTAATGAAATACCTCCAAAATACCTCTGGGGTTCTAAACAGTGTCTGACATCACTAATGAATTTTCCAGGCTGCTGTCAGTCCCCAGCCTTTGCCTCACTGAGCCCTTCTGGTTCAGTCACCTTTCCAGGAAGCCTTCTATCCTCACCAGACATCACTGGCCACATGAACAGTCCTCATGGTTATAATCTCTGGCAAATGAAAAGACCGTTTCTTCCCCCAATGCTATACATTCTGCTTGGTGATGTTGAGAGAGACAGACAGAGACAACAGACCCAAAATGGAGTCACTTATGCTAAGTTTCACGTCAGTAAACCAGGACTTGATACCTCACCTAAATACAGTTTCAACCTTTCCCAGCAATGTAATCTTAAACCCGTAAATCTGGAATTTCTGGATCAGCACTAGTGAAATAATCTACCTGTTGACCCCTTCAGGAAGCCCCCCCAAAAAGATAACATAATCTTCCCTTTCCTTGTCCCTGCCCCCTTTTGCCTATAAAAGTCTCACATTTTGTTCAGGCCTTCAGAGGTCCTTTTTATTTGTTAGATGGTATGCTGCCCCTATTCATGAATCATTGAATAAAGTAAATCTGATCTTTACATTTACTCAGTTGTTAACAAGGATGGGGGGACACAGAAGATTACTTGGACCTCTGAAAGTTAGGGAATTCATTGAGATAGCACGTTCCATTTGTTAAAAACAAGACAACAAGGCCAAAACAGAGCAAGTTATGCTAAGCCCCACGTCACCACACCACAACTTATTATAGTTTCAACTGTCCTAGAAATGGAATCTTAAATCAGTCAATCGGGAGTTGCCTGATCAGCATTAGTTAGGGAATCTGCCTGATACACCTCTGCCATCCCCTAAAGGAAAGCAACCTTGCAATAATGAATCCAGCTTTTGTTCCTAGTGTAACTTCCTTGTTTCCCCTCCCTTCTGCCTATAACAGTCTTCCATTTTGTACAGCTCCCCAGAGCTCCTTTCTATCTGCTAGATTGGATGCTACTTTAGTTTTTGTTCTAGAAGGTTCTTTGGTCCCCCTAATAAACTACACCTACAAATGGTTATCAAGGAAGATGCAGTCAAGTATCAGTGGAAAGTCAACTGGGACCCTTGGTCACCCAGGGCAACTCAGGATGACCTTTTATTTTTTTGGACAAGGAATACGTGTTTAACAACAAAATATGTATGCTTTTTTAAAGTATGTTTATTTTAAGAAAGAGAGAGAGAGAGCACATGCACGAGCAGAGGAGGGCAGAGAGAGAGAGGGAGAGAGAATCCCAAGCAGTCTCTGCACTGTCAGCAAAGAGCCTGACTCAGGTCTTGAACCCAAGTCGACTAAGCCACCCAGGCCCCCCATACTTAATTTAGAAGTATGCTTCTAAATTAATGTTTGAGTGTAACATTTGCTTAAGAAATCATTGTTTTGGAGCACTAGGTGACTCAGTCAGTTAAGCATCTGACTATTGATTTTGGCTCAGGTCATGATCTCACAGTTGGTGGGACTGAGCCCTAACTCAGTCTCTGTACTAACAGCATGGAGCCTGCTTGGGATTCTTTCCCTCTTTCTCTCTCTGCCCTTCCCCTACTCGTGTGCACACAGGCACACGCTCTCTCTCTCTCTCTCAAAATGAATAAACTTAAAAAAAAATCACTACATCTATTTAATAATAGATTTATTTCAGTAGCCAGACACAGTTAAAAGGTTTGAAAATATTAAATATTCACATGCAGTATTTTAAATAATTTTAAGTACTTCTGACTTCAAATTTCTAATTTCTAACTTATGTAAGTAACGTGTATTGTTTTTTACAATTTGTAAATGCAAAGAAACTCACCGAATAATATTCAAAATTATCTATAATACATCAAGCAGAAGTATGTCTCTCTAGAAACAGACATGCATACACACATGTGCACACACACGTGTGTGTGTGCTATAGTATATATTTAATAAAAATAGAATGATGTGGCATCTGGCCTTGTAACCTTTTTTCCTTGCAATATGTTGTGACTAATTTTCCATGTCATTAAATATTCTTTTATACCATAATTTCAAGGCTGAATTTTGTTTTATTTATTGTTTTTTGCTTTTGTTTCAATGGCTGACTCTTTTTTTTAAATATTTTTATTTATTTCTAGGAGAGAGGGAGAGAGAGGGACAGCGTGAGCAGGGGAGGGTCAGAGAGAGGGAGATACAGACTCTGAAATAGGCTCCAGGCTCTGAGCAGGCAGTCAGCAGAGAGCCCGATGCGGGGCTCGAACCCACAAACCGTGAGATCATGACCTAAGCGAAAGTCGGACGCTTAACCGACTAAGCCACCCAGGTGCCCCTCAATGGCTGACTCTTAAATGCTTATGTAAATGTGTATCCTGGAATATACAATACTCACTCATCCTCTCTCTGCTGCTCAGCAGCTTTCCTTGCATTATAAGGATAAGAACTGAGCTTCAAGCAAGGGGGCCCATACTTGGAAGATTCCTTAAAGCTGCTGACACGTACTTGCCCTATTGGAAAGAAGCAGAGACAAGTACTCCCGTCCACAGGTGCCTCATGTACATCTAATGCCTCATGATTATTAGATACCTCTTGGTCCTTCCATCCCTTTTAATACGTATCTACATTTAACATGTACATGTTTCACTTACTATTGATCTGTATGTAATACATCTTAGTTCATTCATTCCATCTTCTGTAACAAAAGAAACAATTATAGCAGCTTTCATCTATAACAGATCCAAAGTGCAAGTGCATACTACAGATCTCTGACACATTTCTCTGACCGGCTGATCTGCTGCCATTTTAGCAAACCTTTCTAACCCACCTTGGATTTGAATTTAGCATCAGAAAGTCAGACCCTAACTTTGGGGTTTTATTTACTTCTCCTGGTCCTGAATA